TTCAATTCTTCAAATTTCATTTAAAATATTGACACACATAGGCATGTGCCTTGTTTAGCAAAGTTTTTTGAAATATATACATTATATATATATGTATATATATATATTTTTCTCTTTTTTTTAAAAGAAAAGATCAGCAGGGGCCAGAGGAATGGGGTTGGAGTGTTCCATGGTAGAGTGGTTCCATGGTTGGAGTAGTTCCGTGGTAGAGTGATTAGCTTGCATGAGGCTCTTGAGTTCAAGCTCCAGCAAAACACACACACACATACACATACATGAATACAAATGTGATTAAATGTTACATTGGTTGCAGTATACAAACAATATAAGAAGAAAAAAAACAAAAGTCATTGGTCTTTAAATGAAATTCATCTTGTTAAAAAAAATCTTTAGTAAAAACATAGAAAAGTTGAAATAAAAACATGGAAAAAATGTACCAAGCAAGTACTAACTAAAAGAAAGAGGAAGTAAGAAATTCTAATTTGAGGTAAAAACTGTTAACGGAGATTAACAAGTACATAAATTCTGCTAACAGATAAAATGTACCAAAAAGATGAAATAAACTTTTGTTTAGCTTCAAAATAGGTGAACCAGAACTTAGAGTTATTGGAAGAAATTTATAAAGGGACACTAGTGGGGGATTTTTATTATCTTTTATTAGAAACTAATAGGTCAGAAATATCAACAAATAGACTATCAGAAGAGATAAAGAAGATTTGAACAGGGCATAGAAGAAATTGTGTGTGTGTCTGTGTGTGTGTGTAGAAGTGCACACCAAACTGAGAGTGTGTGTACTTTCCAAACATGCCAAAAGAATTTGCAAAAGTGACCATATTCTGTGTGACAAAGCAAGTTTCAACAAAGCCAGGAATGACTGTCATACTGTTTTCTGATGTCACTGCAATTAACTTTGAAACCAGCAATGAAAACGCATTTTTATTTTGTTTTTTTTTGTTGTTTTTTTTTTGTTTTGTTTTTTTGTTTTGGTTTTTCTCCGTTACCAGGAATCGAACTCACAACCTTGCGCTTGCTAGGCAAGCGCTGTGCCACTGAGCTAAGTGCCCAGCCCCCCAAAACGTCTTTTTAAAGCTACAAAACTCATGTATTTGAAAACTTAAAACAAACATTCATTGCCAAAAAAGAAAAAGTAGCAAACATATTTGAACTCTAACAATGAAATACTGCATATTAAAGCTGTGAGATACATCCGAAAAGGTGTTTAGACAGACATCTGTAGCCTTACATGCTTTTATTTAAAAGCAAGAAAGCCTGCAAAGACTTGCATTAATCTTTCACATAAAGAGAAAAAGAACACAGGTAAATGAATTAAACAGAAAGTAAGAGGTAATCCCAGAAGTTAGCCGGGGAGAAGCCAGTGCTTCAGGGTTGCCATCTAGGTCGTAGCTGTCTCAGCCCCCAGGTCGTCCACGCGCAACTCCGTGCGCTGGGTGCAAGGGTGAGTGAGCCCTTTAAAGGGCGGGAAGGGGCATAGCGAGGGGTTAAGCAGACACGGGAGCAAAATTCAGTACAGAAGTTTTGAAGAAGCTTTACCCTTTCAACAAAAGGAAAAAGAAATAACATCTGCAAAAACCAAATCATGGGGCCCACATGACGTGGAGAATTGCCCTTTAGGAAAACACGAGAACTATTGTATCTTAAAAATCCAAACTCTTGGAAAACTAGGGATGTATGGGCTCACCCCTGTGGTCGGATCAAGCCGAGTTCCGTGGGTATTTCCTAGAGGGCGCTGGTGCTCAGATGAGTGGGACCTCCTCCTACAGCCCGGAGACCTAGACAGCGCAGACCACCTGGGGGGTCCAGGAAAGCGCACAGCTCCGTCTTCTCCCCGCCCCGCACCGGGCAGGGCAGAAGACAGTTCTCAGGGGATAGAAGTGTTAATAACTGGCACAGACGGGATTTCCTGATGGGCAAACTGGAAAACTGTTACCGGTCTCTAAGATTAGCCCCACCTAGTAAAACGAGGACCCTGTTTCCTGACTTCACAAGTACTTATAGCCACAGTGCAACAAATGTAAGGATTTGAGGGGACGTTAACGAGAGTATTTAGGATCAGTTGCAGGTCAGAGCTATTCTAAAAAGCCGAATTTCAAATCATAAATTTTTTACCTATTTCATTCCAGTCATTTAATTCATAGCTTTTACTCTTTTGTAAAAAAGACTCTTTTTTCCTTGGTTAGATCTGTCGCATGACAAGGCAGTGGTGAGAACAGATATCTTTATCTTACTTTTTAAATTTAAATTTTGTTGGTACATGTTTGCAGTATATGATATTTACTTTTATCTTGGGGAGTGGGTACATGTACATCATACAGCTTGTTTCTTTTTTTAATTCCCTTCCCCTTCCCACCCACCTCCATCTGTCTAAATCCCCTTTTCTCATTTTCATTCTCGTTGTTATTGTTATTCTTAGCGCATGCTGTGTAATGTTTACACTCACTGTGGGTATTTGGTACCTGTACACAGCCTCTTAAATCTTCATCCTCCCCTTGCCCCCACTCTCGGTCCCTGGAACCCCTTTCCACTTGCAAGAGGTCTATTCTCTTGTTTCCTTCTATCAAGCTTTTATTTTACTTTTTGTTCATACTTTGCCTTACTCAGATGATAGATATCATATGATTTTTAAGCTTATGTGTCCTATTTATTTCACTTGGCATTATATTTTCCAGGAGTATCCATTTTCCTACAAATGCCTTGAATTTACCTTTCTTTATCACTGTAGTATTCCATTATGTACAGACGCCACATTTTCTTTTTCCATATACAGGCTGCTTCCAGAATTCAGCTGTTATGAATCGTGCAGCTATAAACATGGGTGGGTGGGTGTATTGCTGTGAGATCATGTCTTTAGCTCTTTTAGGAAGATACTTAGAAGGGGAAATTTCTAATTGTAGTCTTTTGGGAAATCTCCATACTGATTTCCATAGTGGCTATACTAGTTTATAGCCCTACAAGAGCATATCAATGGATGCAGAAAGGGTGTTTGGCAAAATCCAACACCTCTCCTGAAGAAAGTAAGTATAGAAGGACCATAACTGAATTTAATGAAAATTGTTCATGACAAACCAACAGCCAACATATTAAAAGGAGAAAAACTGGAAGCTTTCCCTCTAAAATGAGGAACAAGACAAGGATGCCCACTCTCACCACTTCTATTCAGTACAGTGCTTGAAATATTAGCCAGAGCAGTCAGACAATAGAAATGAATAAAAGGGATACATATAGGAAAGGAAGAACCCAAGTTATCATTATGTGCAGATGAGGTGATACTCTACATAGAAAACCCAAAGAACTCCACCAATAGACTCTTAGAATTAATAACCAGTTTTGGCAGTGTGGCAAGATACAAAATCAACATGCAGAAATCAGTAGCATTTGTCTACACCAATAATGAACTCAATAAGAAAGACATTGTGAAAAAAATATCAGTCAGATTAGCATTAAGAACAATTAAATACCTAGGAATTAACCTCACCAAGGAAGTGAAAGATCTCTATAACAAAAGCTACAGTATGCTGAAAAAGGAAATTGAAGAGGACATCAGAAAATGGAAAGACAATCCCTGTTCCTGGGTAGGCAGAACCAATATTGTCAAAATGGTCATACTCCTATAACTGTTATACAGGTTAATTCCCATCAGAATGCCAACAGCATTCATCACAAAACTAGAGAAAACGATCCTAAAATTCACCCTGAGCCAGGAGAGACACAGACTAACAAAAGCAGTCTTGGGTGACAAGAGCAACGCAAGAGGTTTCAGAATAGCCAGCTTCCAATTTATATGACCAAGCAATAGTGATAAAAATGGCATGGTGCAAAAAAAAAAGACATATGAATCAATGGAACAGAATAGAGAACACAGAAACACTTTCCACATATCATAGTTACATAATAGCACATTTTTTCTTGTGGTAATAGCCTGCAGATGAAAGGTTTTTTGCATATTTATTGGTCAGCTTTTTCATCACAGGAATAAAATATCTGACATACACAATTTAAATAAAGGAGCAAAAGTTTACTTTGGCTCACAGTTTCAAGAGAGTTCAGTCCATGGTCAACTGGCTCCAAGTCAGAAATAGCATGGCGGAAGGGCCTGGCAGAGAATAGCAGCTCAATCCATGACAGCCAAACAGCATAGAGAGAGCCTGGGATGACAGGTTAAGGGGATGACATGCATGTCTACCTCTTCCTCCATTCAAACACCAGCTTCACATTCACCTAAGAACTCAGCAAATGACTAATCCACTAATAATGTAGCACTCCCGTGAGACTTTTCGGGACCTTTCATGTGTAAACCATACTATAAATGGTGAACTATATAGTTCATATGATGAACTATGAACTATATAGTTCATATGATGAACTATATAGTTCACCATATATAGTTCATCATACTATAATGATGAACTAATGAGCTAAAAAAAGTGCAATAAAATGGGGAAACTGGTGTTTATTGCATCCTTTAAGGCATAATTTGAAAAATAAATGACTGCTTATCAGCCTAGTCCTTTATTTTAATAATTAGAAATACTAGCAAATAATGACATTACTAATTGAAATACCAGTTTTGACAAGCCCTTACTTATTTCTCTATTAAGATTGCTTCCTCAAAGTATCTCAAGAAGTTAATGAATTGCATGTTAATTAAATTTGAACTTTTATCCTCTAGTATTCAAATGGGAAAAACCAAAATATGATGTATTCAAATTGCTTCATACTAGATTGGACATTAATTGCAATATAAATATAATATATGGTAATGTTACACATGAATGTTATAAGAAATGTGTAGCATTTAGAATGGAATTTTCTAATTTTGAATATGGATTTATCTTTTAAATTCATTTTGTTCCTGAAAATTCAAATGCTAGAATAATGTTTTACTGGCATTTTCTAGTTAACCAAGTTAAACTTTCTATGAAAAAGTCATTCTCATCCAATTAACAAATGCATCCTATCTTTCTCTGCTCTTCTGTTGTTAGCCTCTTAGCAAATATCCTGCGCTGACAAACGACATTTCCTTCTGGTTACCCTCTGAGAACTACACCGAGAATGATTTCTATGACTTAGTCCGAACCATTGGAGGAGACCTGGTGGAGAAGGTTGATCTCATAGACAAGTTTGAACATCCAAAGTAAGTGAAGAGCTTTCCATTTTGTCCTATGCTATTGCTGTGTGACAAATAGCATGTGGAAGCATGCAGTGCAACTGTGCTGCAATTCAGTGTGCCGGAGAGAACTTCTTCTAAATTTATAAATGAATGGATGGCTGGTGAGAAAACTCTTCCTACTCTCTGAAAATCTTTCTAACGTGCATTGTTATTCTTTCTTGCCTTCTTAGTAAAGGAAGTGTGTGAAACAGAATGTTTTAAAGATCTTGCCATGTCTCATCATTGCCTTTGGAAGTGATTTCTTACCTATTGCATCGTGAGTACAAAGGAGATAAGGCAGAGAACGTGTGGTTTATGGAGAAAATGGTGTTTTGTTAGTCTCTCAGTGCACATTTATTAAGCACTTCCCACATGCCAAGACCTGTGTTAGGTCTTAGAACTTCAGTGGGCTAGAACTCCTTGGAATTCAGTCTCACGGGACAGTCAGATATTAAATAAATCATTACACAGATGTGCAGCAATTATTGTGTGGGGAAATGCATTGGCTGTAGCCAAGAACTGATTTCCACGGGGAGTCAGGGCAGGCCCCTTTGGAGCACTGACGTGGAGGGCAGAAGCATTGCGGGCTGTGAAGCAACACTGCAGAAAGCAGATACGAATCTTGGTTGGAATGATCACACGGGCAAATGTGGGCATGGATGGCAGTGATGTGACTCAAGAAGTGAGGGGAGGTGGGTGAAAAGAGATGACTGTCAGGGAGAGATTTGAATGTAGGCTCAGGCAGGGCCAACACATGCAAGGTCTAGGATTTGGGATTGTCCAGATTGCACTTGGATGTTCCAGAAGTGATCCACTTGCCTCTCTGACTTGTCCACTTTTTAAATTATTATTATTTCTTTTGTTTTTTGTTTTTTTCTGGTACCAGGAATTGAACTCATGACCTTGCGCTTGCCAGGCAGGCTCTATGCCGCTGAGCTAAATCCTCAGCCCCCTGACTTGTCCCCTTTAATGAGCCATGTGGCCCCACTGTTAGAGAAGAAGTCACCACATCTTGTCTCGCTCTCATCTCCATTCTGCTCTGGCCTCCTAATTTTACACTGTGTCCTATCTGCATGGCCAGGGAATCTACACGTCAGGGATACAATATGGCTTCCACATCAGTCCTGTTCTGTGTCTCCCTTTGTTTTATGAACTCTTTTTTTCCCTAAGTAAAGATGTTTATTGCTCACTGCCAGGTCCTTACCTCAGTTTTGTCACTTATCTGGGTGACTAAATATCATCTAGAGATTTGCGGAAGGACTTGTGGAAATAATATCCCCTGTCTTAGTCGCTTTCTCTTTGCTGGGACAAAAGTACCCAACACCCACAACTTAAAGGAGGAGAGGTTCATTTTGGTCCACATTTTCAGTCCATTGTCGGCTGGCTGCAGGGGAGGAGGGCATGGCAGAGCAGAGCTGCTCACCGCAGGGCAGCTGGGAAGCAGAGAGAGTTCAGGGAGGTGGCTAGGAAGCAGGGAAGAGTCCAGGGAGGAGTCTGGGGGAAGGTTATTTCCTCCAGGTCACAGGTCGTGGCCACAGTTGACCCACCTCCTCCTATGAGGCCACACCCCCTAACAGCACACCCTCTCACACCCCTGACCCAATTACCTCCTGAACACATTCCACAGCCTTGATCTTTTTACTTTTCCTGCTTAAAAGTTGGATAATATTATCAAGATATCCCTCAGTGTTGACCTGTTCCCTGTGCTGTACTGCTGTCTCTCACAAATCAGATTTGACTTTGCTTTTGTTTGGGGCAAGTTTTCCTGAATCCTATTTAAAGAATGCATTCTGGTTCATTTCATCCTTCAGGGATCCCAGTAATCTCTGTCTGACTCTGTACCTATGACAGCCTTCCAGTGTTTTAAATGTCTTTATTTCCAATCCAGTTGGTGAGCTTTCCTCCCTGCTAGCTTCTCTGTCCCTTCCTACATTTCCTCCTCGTTCTGCATTCCTCTTCAGTCACTGCTTTTTCCTGTTTTTCTGAGTTCTGCCAGCTCACATTCCAACTCCTCCTATTTTCTTGCCATCTTTTCTCTGAGTTATTTCTGTTTTGTGATCTTCCTTCCTTGAGAAATTGCTTCCCTTAGCTTTAAAATTTATTGCAAAATATTTAACCAAAATTTCATATGCTCCAATGGCAGCATTTTTCTACAACTTTCATGGTCATAAGTTTTCTGCCACTCTCCTTACTTTTTCCTTAACTCTTAATTGACAGATATGCCTCAGCCATGTGACTGCCTATCTAATAATGCCCATGTTGAATGCACTGGGTTTCCCAACCTCCTCTGGGCACAAGGTCTGGAGGTGAGGCTGGGCTTGGCATGGCAGAGCCCTGTAACGGCCAGGTTGTTTTCATAGCCCTATGGCTCCTGTTCTCTCCTGCCAAGAAACCAAGTCTTTAAATTTAGCCCATCTCTGATTCTTTGTGCGGGTCTGCCCCAGCTCCAGGTCTGCGACTGCTGAGAAACAGAGGACTCACCCTTGTTCTCCCAGTGTTGGCACTCAGCGGGGGGCTGTCTGCGTGTCAGGCTGTAGCCTCCAGTGCCGGCAGCCCTGTGTTTTGCTGAGTGCCCCACGGTTTCTCCCCTTCACTTCCTCTCACTTGCTGCTTCCTTATTTCAGTTGCTTTGGGCCGCCTTTAAATGTATTTTGGAACTTGGATGGGCTCTTCCTTCTGATTCCATGGGAAATCAGACATATGGGGCGGCCTGGGCTGCTGATGCTGTGAAATGCCAGTCCAACCCTGGGTGTCTCCAGAAGTTCTCCTGTTGACGTGAAAGTCCAGCGTTCATTTCCATAGAGGAGGAAAAAGATTGGAACAAAACCAATTGCGGAGTACTCGCCAAGATGCCAAAGGTGTGGGACTTATCCTTTTTCCCGCTGTTGTTAGTAAAATCAAGGATTCGGAGCACATTCTTGGTCTCTGCCTCCGTAGTCCCTTATTCCTAGAGTGGCCTTCGATTCACCCTAAGGTGAGTGGCCTTTGTGGCTGGAAATGATCAGAACCTACTAAGTCACAGAGAGATGTTAAACCTGGTGAGTTGGGAGAATTCCCCGTGTTGGGGTCCATGTGTCTGGGGGCGGGGTGAACTCCCAGACATTTGTTCCCGCAGTGGGTGACCTATGGCTGTGAAAGCAAATGCTGAATGACTTGGTAATTAGAGCGGTCTCATGGGAGTAGTGTTGGGGGCCTGCTGGCCCAGGCAGAACAAATAGGGAGATAGTCCCTAAAAATAACAAATAAAATAGCAAAGTGTATTAGAGATACTCCGTTCATGCAAACCTACTCACAGAGCTCCGAGCCAATTGGTGAACAGAGAATGTATATCGTTCTTTCTGAAGGAGATAGTACTTTCGAATGAAAATTTGAAAACAACCAAAAATTATCTTCGTATTGGCTTCTTTGCCTAATAGGAAAATTGTGACTCAGCGGAGTGTGGTGGCGCACACACCTTTAATTTCAGAACTTTGGCAGGTTTGGGAGGGAGCTTTGGGAGGCTGAGGCAGGAGAACTGAAAGTTCATGCCGAATCTGGGCAGTTCAGCAACTTTGCCCGACCTTGTCTCAAAATAAATAATAAAAAAGGACTAGGGATGTAGCTCAGTACCAAAGCCCTGGGTTCAATCCCCAGTACTGAAACAAAACAAAACAAAACTGTGACCCATGCTAGGGCTGAGTGAAACGCAGAGGAGACTCCCTGAGATAAACAAGCTGGCAAACAAACTGAGCGTCATTCTTTGAACAAGAAGAGATCCCCAGATATTTCATGGAATCATAAAAGGCTGATTTCCTAATGTCAGACAAATGGAGAAATCTGGTCTTGATTCCAAGTAAGACCTTGTGCCCTGAAGAGGGTTAGATACCGAGGTCAGAATAGGGCGTTTTGCTTGAGCTGCTGTTCCTGGGGGTGTCTGCGCTTCCTCTGTGGGCCGCTGACCTTGTAAAGCGCTTCTCGTCTCGAGGCTCAGAAATGCACTGCAGCCACAGCTAGGACGTGATGATCCCGGGGTGGGGCCTCCAAGCAAGCGTACACTGTGCCCTGCGGTGTTTACTGGTGAGGAACCAGGATTAAGGTGCACACCCCTAGTGCACGCTGCCACCCCCACCTCACCCTCCACTTGTGCGCATCATCTTTAGTCTCAAGGAAGGACCGCGTGGAATGTGCTTTTTCCTCCAATGCAGTGGCTCACAGCATCAGGAGGAGGAAAGTGGGGCGGGGGACCTGACATGTCTCCACTGGTCTGTGCCGGTGGAGGTGCAGCCCGTCACCCTTAGTTCTGGAGGTGGACAGTAAAATAAAAGGGGCTGAAGTAGGACAGGTTCAGACTGGGTTTAAAACAGACCCTTCAGAGAGTTCGAATTGGATTGATTTTTTTCTAAGTATTTGAGTTGGCTCCGGAAGGGGCGATGGTCAGAAATCACGAGTGTCCTCAGTGTTGCTGGCTGCAGAGGAGGCGTGGTGAAGTTCCCACTGTTTGGCTCCTGGACTGACCTAGCTCCTGGGACTGCTGTGGGCCGGTCCCTGTGGTCACAAGCAGGTCCTTGAATCCCTAAGCTGTGGATCAGGGCTGGGGCACTGGACCTGAGCATCCTGACCTACAAGTCACAAAGGTGAGGGTCACCTCTCTTCTTCTCTACCCAGCCTTCCTACTGGGTATGTTTTTGTTTGTGACCTGTCACAGCTTTAAACGTTGAGGCACAAGCGGGTATGGTTAAACACTTGTTATCATGTGTCCTCGAATTTTCAAGGGGGCCCCTTCTCAGCATGGGATGCGCTGGAGTCAGATCTGCAAACCCCTCTGGAACTAAGGCCGGACTAAGGGCCAGAGACCTCTGCTTCTGGTGCCTCTGGCTCCTCCCGCTCCCTCCCAACCCTCCGCTCCTCACCCTGCACAGGTTAACCTCCACTAACCTCTGCTCATTCTGAATAGTCTGCAGCCTTTCCGGGCCAGTCTTTTCCACCATCCCTGAGCAAATTCAGGA